ACCCGCTCGCCTACTAACTGGCTGATTGTCAAGACTGGAATGCTGGGCTGCTAATTGATCATCGAGGTTCACATGGCTGAGATCTGTTGACTCAGAGATTTGGGTCGGGGCCTTATTCTTGTTGTACCAACGGGATTTGAGGTTAACCCCTGTCTTGGAGGATTGCCCCGGTCAGATGCCTTGACTATTCAGGGTATTGCGAACCTTATCAACCTGTTGGCTCGTGACTTCTAAATGGTGGTCTTGAAGGTGGCTTAAACAGCTAGATTTCGTTCTATGTGGGTCGAAAGTCAGCTCACTGACACCGGTGCTATTGATGATTTGTGAGGGAGCACTGTGATGGTGCCACTCGGATTGACTAGGTTCTCTGGATCTAGACTAAGTTGCGGCCATAGGGTTTGACCTTGCTCTGCCATGATCTTGGGTCATGATTCCTAGACTCGGTGAGATCTAGACTCGGCGCCTTATGGTAGACCTAGTCTGACTCTAGGGGCAAAAACCTTAACTAAGACTAGACTGGAACCTAGACTTGCTAGACTCGATGGATTTTGGTTCAGACTCTGAACTAGGGTAAGCCTAGTCTAGCTCTAGAGGCACCTCTATGCTTAGACCTATGCTAAAACCTTGACTAAGATCTAGACTAGATGGTGTACGAGTCTCGACTCGGACCAAGAGTGGGTCTAAGTTTAGAGGGGTAAGCAACGCTAATGTATTTTTTTTAATTTTTTTGTTTTATCTTTTTAATTTTGATGAAACACAATTAAACTAAATATGGTGAAAGCAAGAAAAATATGATTTCAGTCAAAATTAACAAACTAAAATAAAATCAAAAGGGCAGAAACAAAACAGATCTATCTGAAGCAAAATAGTTTTTTATATATTTTTTTTAAAATTATTTTAGGTAAAAAGCTGGTCATCAGGGAGCCAAAAGTCCCAGGAATGGCCCTGTGGGTCCTAGAAATTTTTTGGGACACTTACAGTTGGGCAACACGGGTGGTGTCGCCCAAAAAAATTATTATTTTTATATTTTTATCTTGTTAATCTTGATGAAATAAGACTACTTTAACCTTGAAAGAAGTAAGAAATAAAAATATTTATGATGAAATAAATTAAAATAAAGTAAAAACATCAAGCCCAAATTGAATTAAAAAATATTTTTTTTTGTATTTTTAAATATTTTATTTTGTTCTGAAGTTTTTTTTGCAGTCACAAAAGAGACCCTAGAACAGATCCACAAAGTTTCAAAGGTTTCTGAGTCCTTTGAATTTGGGCGACATTGGCAGTGTCGCCTAGAAAAAGCAGGGTCTGGTCACATACGACTTTTTAGGATCTTTTGTGACTGAAAACAGTGAAAAATAGTGAATAAAAATTGTATTTTGATGCTTGGATCAAGCTCGAAATAGCCCTACGCTGGGCGCCAAACTGTTTATGATGAAAATATGACAGATCTTCTGATGAAGATCTCTTTAATTTTAACACGTTAAACTAATAAAATAGATGTAAGTAAAGTGGTAGAGAAAGTGTGACTGATCGAATTCAGATTTGAGGCCAGATTTGCCCGAAAACACGCATATCTACTCTCAGATTTGTGACAGAGCCAGCATGATCCAAAGCATTAAAATACAATTTTAAGACAAAGCTAACACATCAAAATAATAAAAACGGAAATAAAACAATAAAAGAATAAAAAAGAGAGAGGACGAAACAACACCAAATCAAGCCGGATAGTCCGGGGTTCCCGAGCCTTCGAGGGCTCGCTCGTATCAAAACCGGTCCTCTTTGCTTCTCTGATTCAGATGTTTTCCAGTAGATCTCTAGTGTAGAAAGGTTAGATCTAGGGTTGTTGTGCCTTAGGTCTAGGTTTTCTCAAGCTTAGGGGTTAGGGTCTCAAGAGGTTAGGGTTTCTGTCTTTCTGAATCTCTAAGGTTTCAATCTCTATATGTTTCTCTGTGTTTCTCTCGAGTCTGGAGGTGAATTTCTTTAGTTTTCTAAGGGTTTTGTGATCTCCAGAGATTGAATATGAATTCTGAGATTTTCTCTAATTTTTTGGGATTTTTCTTAAATTTTTAGGAATTTTCTATGGGTTTTTCTTATTTTTGGAAAATTTTCCTAATTTTGGGAATTTCTAAGGTTTTTTTTGGTTTCTTTTCCTCTCTCCTTTTGGGTTAGGGAGAGGGGGGTATTTATAAGATTCAATTGGTGATTTTTCCTAATTTTTTTGAAGTTTTTTCGGATTTTTTTTGGATTTATCTTGAGCTTTAGCCCTATCTAATTAAAGAAAACACGTTTACTGTATCATCAGATGTGTCGACTGCATCATCAGCCCACGTCTAGGGCTATCGGACCCATTACAGCTTGACCCGTGGCCCGACAGTTGGGTCTTAAAGGGACCAAATTATCATTTATTATATCTTTTTATCCGTATGTTCGATTCAGACAATTTTTGGACCGTTGGAAAGCTCTTGGACTCTACTTGAAGGTATGATAAGATATGGATAGTTTTGGGTTAATTAAGCTGGGTCTACTAGGTCATAAGGGTTCAAAAAACCATAGAATTTACTAAATTTAAAATGGGGTGTCTACAATATGACTCCTGTTCTCAGCCATCAAATATAAGTATACCAGTGGGAGGATGGCTTGAGTCACAATATCACAAGTTTGCTCTCAAGCATTAGATCTTGATTTGATGGCTAAGAGTGTGTTGTTTTTATTCTTTATTGTACAAGTTATTTTGTTGCAAAATTTGGGGCATGCTTATATGACAAGGGTGCATATGATAAAAATAATAAGAAATATTTATTTTGATGGGAAATTACCAGAATACCTCTAAAACTTTCAGGGGCATTTTGTTATATTTCATGAGATTTTTTTTTTTTGGCCATGTGCACCCAATAAGAAGATGGGACGCCCCAAATTTCACTAATTTTTTTTTGTAAAAGCTTTAAGAATCAAACAACATTTTGGCGTGACATTGTGATATGACCAATTCTAGTTGTCCATTCAGATTGAACAACTAAGAAGCGGGGTTACATATAATTTATACATAGGTAGGGGCAATGTTAGAAAAATCGGCTAGTTAGAACCGGAACCAACAGGTTATATCGAAACTGCTAGTTAGGGGTGGTTTTAGGGTTCTAATAAGTATAAAAAACATCACAAAAAAAATCTGGACCAAAACGGGCTGGAATATACCCAAACCAACCAGTTTTTTAGCTAATATAAATCCCGTTTTAACGTGCGTTATATTTTAAGCGCCGTTATTTTTAGCAGGGTCGTTATATTAGACAAAACCCATGACTTTTGCTTTATTGAAGATTTGATTCGATTTTTGTTGGCTTTCTAGCTTTTTTTTTTTTAGGATTTTTCAGTCAATTATTGACTAAACTTATTGTTTTAATGGTATAAAATGAAGGATTTGCAACACAAAACCACCGAAATTTGAAATTTTTTAGCCTACTCAGAAAAATCGGCCAAAATTCATGCCGTGACCTTGTTTTTGGATTGTTATCAATGAAAATGGAGGGATTTTTGTAGATAATAGATGTAGTGAGTATATTATACTCCAAAGTTCATTTAAAACGCTAGATTTGGAGCGATTAGGGCATAGGCTCGATTTTTTAGATCGGTTTTGAAAAAATCCGCTATCCTCCCGATTGTTGGTTCACTTTTGTTTTTGTTTTTTCAATAAAAATCTAGGGATTTTGTAGATGATGGAATTAGTCACAAAATTCAAGTAATAATTTCATTAAAAATATGAGATTTGGAGCTCGATTTTGCGTAATTAGGGCATCGACTCAGTTTTTTTGAATTGAGTTAAAAAAATCCACCATACTCCAAATTATTGATTCAATTTTGGTTATTTTTCAATAAAAATCTAGGGCTTTTGCAGATCATGGAGTTAATCACAATATTGAAGTCCTAATTTGATTGAAAATATGAGATTTGGCAATTGATTTTGACAGATAAGAGCATCTACTCAGTTTTTTTGAACTGAGCTGAAAATCAATCGTGAATCGCTCGATTTTGTGCTCGATTTGGTGATTGATTTTTACAGCTAAGATCACATGTATGAATTTCATGTGACTTTTTACTTCGTATTTTTTTTAATATGATTTTTTTAGTTGTTCTAAGTATATGTTTACAACTTTATTTTGTTAAAAAAATAATTATTTAGCTCAAGCATTATTCAGTTACCATAATAGAAAAATCACTTACTTGAATTCGAAATTGGTGGCTTTTTATGGTGATTTAACATTAGACATCAATGTGAAGAATTAACACACTCAGTATTTGATATTTTACTCAAAAGATTTTTTCTTGTTTGTTCTTTATTAACTTGGGGTTATGAGTTATAAGAGACTTAGCCTATGTAATGATGTGAAAAGATAAAAAGATGTAAAAGTAGAACCTGTGATATTTATATCCTTTATGGAGAATGAATAATTGAAGATTTGAACTCCTGTATCATTATGCGCAAATTTTAAAATTGCTGATGGGAAAGTATTTGTTTTTTATTTTCATCGTATGTTCATTGAATTAAGACGGTTAATGGGATAGTATTTGTTTCAATTTTTTTTTAAGATAAATATATGTAATATGATAATATACGATAGATATATGTTTTTTTTATTTAATTTTTTTTATAATTTTTTTGACTTATTTTTTAAAAAAATTCCTACCGAATCTGATTGACCGCCTTGTTATTTCCGATTCTAACCTGTGGAGGCTCGTGGCCGATTAACGATTCCGGTTAGATTTTACGAACACGACCGTTATCACTGTGCTAGTCGTGTTTCCCACACCTGCCCATTACTTAAATTTAACCGGTTCAAGTTCAACACACGGCTGCCCCACTAAACCTAAACCTAAACCTAAACCTAAACCTAAACCTTTAGCTGATTCGGATTGATTTGCATTGGCTGTCCACCTCTCTCCAAAATCTTCGGAAAGCAAAGAAAAAATGGTAAAAAGAGCGTGGCAACTTTTCCCCCACCAATCGAATGTGGGCCCCAATTTGCTCTCTGCAATCTTTTTTCCCACCACTCGTTCTTTGAACCCAGTTTTACTCTGCTCTTCCGAGTATGAGGAGCTTATGATTCAGCCATGGCATCCCTCTCCCTCTCCCTCTACTCTCAATCGACTCCTTCTCTTTTCAACTCAACCTGCAAGCCCCTTCTTCCTTCAGAGAGCCCAATCTCTCTCCGTAAAACCCCACTCCACTTCCTTCACTCTCAGAATTTCGGAAGAAACTCGAGCTTTCGTGTTTCGTCCAGCTCACCCACCATATCTTCCCCAAAACCCACATCTTCGGGTGTCTCTCCTCCTGTTACTGAGACCAAAGTAGCCAGAGATGGAAATGAGTTCGACTGGTTTTCGAATTGGTATCCAATAGCCCCTGTCTGTGATCTTGATAAGAGGGTTCCTCATGCGTCGAGAGTTTTGGGTCTCGATGTTGTGGTTTGGTGGGATAAAGCTGAGGGAAAATGGCAGGTTTTTGATGATAAATGTCCTCACAGATTGGCTCCTTTGTCAGAGGGGAGGATTGATCAGTGGGGTCGGCTACAGTGTGTTTATCATGGGTGGTGCTTTGGAGGCTCTGGTAACTGCAAATTGATTCCGCAGTCCCCTCCTGATGGACCTCAGGTTCTTACTCTCGTACCTTAATGCCACCCTCTCTCTCTTAATTGCTAAATGGTCCGAATTCATTCATTCTTGTGTTGACCTAGTGATGAGTAGTTTGATATTGACCTATGACAATTTGTTAGTCTAATGATGATTTGATCGAGATTGATATACTGGAAACGCACTAGGTGAGGACAATCTATTTATTGTGAAGAATGATAAACCAATTTGTGTTCTTTCTAAGTTCTTGAAATGTTGTGCAGTTGTTGTTTGATATATGTTGTCAGGTCATGCAGTGTAGTGAATCGATAATGCTTATGCAGTGACTTTTGTTATGGAGAATGACAAACCAGATTCTGTTCTTTCTGAGTTTTTGAATTCTTATTCAGTTGTTCTTGAATCTTGATGTATGCAGTCAGGTCATGCAGTGCAGTGACCTAATATTGCTTATGCAGTAACGCGATTAATAGGGTTCAATAAACAGGCAGACTTGGGATTGGTTTTTCTTGGCATGTCTATACCGTCGCTCCCTCAATGTGTTATATCACATATACAGGTAGTTGAGTATATTGTGGTATGCTCGTAAGGTCTGTTGTGCATTCAGGGAAACTTAATCCATTTCCTGCTTAGTGATTTTTATCTGGGTGCGGTTTGCATAAGGATGCAACCTTACTTGTAGAAGTAAGATTACGGTGTTGTACACTATCCATTTTAGTTGGACGGTCTACATTTGACAAACCTTTTTAGGCAGTATCCAAATGTGGCATGTCCTTTGAGAAAATGTTAAATCTATACTGTTTAAATAAAATGGATGGTGTAGATTAATGCAACCTTACTTCTACAAATAAGGTTGCATCCTTATACAATTTTTTTCCTTTTATTTGGGTTAACACCTATTCAAATGAATCCCTTTTCCAAATCTGGATCCAAAATTTCACATGTCGATATTCTCACCACCGTGATCATGAATCTAAAAAGGAAAATAGGTTTTTGAACCTCAAAAATGGTTTAATTTGGACTTTTTCTTTTGACAGTTCATTTCAGCTCTTTGCAGATCATCAAATCTGTTGGAGTTGCAAATTCATGGATCAAACGTGAAATTGCCCGTAATGATTAACGATGGGTTTTTGATCAAATCCATGGGAAAAAAAGGTGTTCTCGTGTGCTCAGCACGCAATAAACTTCTGCTTTGATAGTGAGCTAAAGCTTTTGCTTTTATTGTGAGCTACTTCGGCTCATTTCAAGTTAACGCAGTTATTTTCACTGTCAAATCCTTGTATTAAAATGTCATCATGGTCTGGTGAAACCATATTTCACTATTCAATACTGTTATTCTTTGAATCCCCTTCTATCTTAACCTTGGTTTTCGACAAAAACTTGAACACAACAAACTGAAATTTCCAAGGCTAATCTATAATTCTACTGTTAGATGTACATGTGGAAATTCTTTTACATGCGTGTCCTCCCTTGGCAGTGGGATTTTGGGAAGAGATGACTCCTCCATGAAGCAGAATGTGGCATGAAAGGCAACGGTTAGAATTTAAGCTAATCATGCTTTGAAAAATGTTATAGGGTTCCTGTTGGAGGGCCATGCTGAGGAGGTGGCTAAAATTTTCAGAAGTTTGGATCTCGTGAAGCAAATATACTGAGGAAGCTTAGGAGCCAGCAGAAGTTGGAAGAGTTAGGGGAAAGGTGTGAGGGAGTTAAAGAAATTTATGTGAATGACTAATAACAAAATAAAATCAATGGACCTAATGGCCAATAAGGAACAATTAATGGTTGTGAGGGGGTTGGATGGGGGGAAGGGGAGATGTTGTTCACTGAATCATTGAGATGTAGATTACCAATGGGGAGGTTGATTGGTGGGGTGGGGTGGGAGGGAGAGGGTGGGGGGCGGGGGGGATATGTGGTGTGCTTTGGTGTTAGTCAAAACTTAAGTGCTTGGCCAAAGATTGATGGTGGACTGCAGTGGCAGCTCATGAGCCTAGAGCCACAGGTAGTCTTTTGGTACATCATGGCATGTATGGGGGAAATGAGTGCGTACTGTCATAGTGGGGGAAACTTCAATTCCTTAGGTTCTCTAATGAAAAGAATTGTTGAAGTAGGCTGTTGAGGTGCATGGCTAAATTCTCAAGGTTTGTAGGACAACATACCTATGTGACCTTGCTTATAGCTCTCAATGACTTCATCTAGTTGAATAACCAAAGTGATCTCGTGATGAATGGGATTCACTGATTTCTCATATCTAGGGAGTGGTAATATCAGTTCCTTAAGATTCATTAATGTGGGTCAGCGAGTGTCTCCCAAGAATTGCATGCAACACTTCTAACTCTTAGATTTTTTCCAGTGGGTATAATGTCCATGTGACATGTTGTATACAATATGCTTAGGACCAGATGGTAACAAGGTTTTAGGGATAATAAGACAACCTACTCTGATGCCGCATTAGACATGAGAATACTTTGGGAAGAAGCACTGACTTTGTGTGCAGATTCTTTCAAGTCATAATGAGAGGGAGCAAGGATTCAGGAAGGAGACAACAATGTCTTGTGAACCAGATTGGGGTTCCACCCATGGAGAGGACAATTGAGAGAAATAAAATAAGGGGTTATTTTACTGCCCCTAGATTGGAACATTTATACTTGGGATAATTTATGGAATTTTGTGATATTTTACATAATACTTGAGAGAGATAAAATCATCTCCAATTTCCTCAAGTTCATGGGCAGAAATTTCATCTTTTACCTATAATTTCTTTCTCAAGCCAAACATTTGAGGATTTCATTTGGAAGAAATTTGTATTACCTATCTTGGTCTTTCCTCTAATTCTCGTCATTGTTTAGATTTTACAAGAATAGGTTTGTAATGGGAAGAAAATCTACTGCTAGATTCTTCAGTGCTTGTTAGCACAAATGTCATTCCGGTTGTCCTAGGATCCAAACTCAAGTATTTGAAAATCTTTCAGTGATACTACATTTGGAAAAGTCTCCCGAAAGTTGTCATAGAATATTCTGCCTCTTTGGTTTTGTCAAATGAATCATTTGGCTCCTCAAGGAATTGAGACCATTAATTCTAATGTAGGGAATTGAGCACACTGAATGTAGTTAGTGACTTTTCTTCCATCTGTCATTTGAGCTTATTTGCATACTCTTTTATCATCAATCCAAGGTGTCCAACAACATGATAAGGATGCTAAGAAATCTCACCTTTTGCAACGTCCTTCTGGCAGACGCTCATTGATCCATTTCATAGACTCTGGGGAAGTAGACATCTCTCTATCACTTCTATTGCCTATTTTCATACTGATTTTTAAAAAAATTGGCTTATTATGACAAAATCACTTTTTACACTGTCACGTCATTTCATGCCTTAGCCACATTCACATAGATTCCATAATACTCATCATCATCATCATCATCATCATCAAAGCCTTTTTTCAAACTATTTGGGGTCGGCTACATGAATTCTGGTCCGCCATTCTGCTCTATCAATGGTCATACCCTTGGGAATGGGGTTGAGGTCATGGTTGTAGCACCACCTAAGCCTCAACTACTGGTCATGGTTTCCATTCTCACTGACGCATTTGAAAACCACTTACGATTTCTAAAATGGGTAGGGGCCCGTATTCCCCACTGATCTACTAAAAAAAGAAGAAGTAGTGGGGCCATAAGTCCCGATATCTTTTCTCACTACTTCTAACCATATCCTTTTGGGCCTGCCCCTTTTCCTTTTTGAGCCTTCCACTTGAACTAACTCGTACCTCCTAACAGGTGTTGTATTGGGTTTGTGCTGCAAATGCCTAGCCCACCTAAGTCTACTTTCTGTCATCTTACCGCCTATTGGAGCCACACCTAAGTTCTGCTGACTGTATCCATTTCGAATTTCATCCCTTATTGTCTTGCCACTCATCCATCTCAACATCCTCATCTCAGCTACACTCATCTTATGGGTAATGTTGTTTCTTGAGCGCTCAACATTCTACCTCATAAAGCAAAACTAGTCTCAGAATTGTCCTATAGAACTTTTCCTATAGCTTCATTGGTATTGTGGGATCACATAAACTCCAGCGATCACATACATTCATTTGGTCTAAGAAGGGTGAGGACCTTAATACTTTCTCGAAACCCATCCCAAGTCCAGGTAAATGAGGTGGATTGTGTTAGTTAGGCAGCTAATGTAAAACTTTGCCAAAACTTTCCATGTGTAATATAAATCAGTTGTTCCAGTACTTGGCACTTCCACCATAGGTAATAAATAAGATATATGCATTTATGTACTTATATATATTTCATATCTTAAAAATATGATGTGACACTTATTCCTATTATTTATCTAGGATATATCTATAGGTGAAGAATTTCTTCTAAATGGGATCCTTTAAATGCTTTATTGTGATCTAAAATAAATAAGATATATGCATTTATATACTTATATATATTTCATATCTTAAAATTATGATGTGACACTTATTCGTATTATTGGTTTGTTATCTAGGATATATCTATAGGTGAAGAATTTTGTCTAATAGAAATGGGATCCTTTAAATGCTTTATTGTGATCTAAAATTTTGTCATACTTGTCACCCTGGTGAATATTGTACGGCATGTAGGCTTATTATGTCAATACTCCAATACTTGAGTTTGACATGTCAATTTTTTTACAGGTTCATACATCCAGAAAGGCATGTGTGGCTGTTTATCCTAGTCTTGAGCAGAATGGAATTGTATGGTTTTGGCCAAACCCTGACCATCAACTCAAAGATATTTCATCAAAAAAGAGTCCTCCTTTCATTTCTGAGTTAGATGATCCATCATACACTCATTTGATGGGAATGAGGGATATGCCATATGGGTATCTATTTTCTGCCCCAAGCTTGAGTTTTCCACTTTAGAGGCATTGTGTTTCATTCTTATGATATATTTAAGTCTCCCAACTCTTCATCTTTTTGGTGCTTTATTGCTAAAGCACATATGGACATTGCAACTTGTTGCATTCTATTGGTGTCCTCCTGACCATCCATGACTTTCAAGTTTCAGATGTCACTCGCTTCCATGACCTCCAATTTTCCTTATGCATTGACTGTATAAAGTTTTCGAAGTATAATTAATGATTATATGTGAGTAGCGTTTCTGATTATCACTTATTCTTCTATTGCTCGATTCAGTCACCACAAAATTACTTTGTCATGCAGAAATACTACAATAATTATTTTATCTTTTTTTGTGGTAATTATTAAAGTGTATAAGAATATTACAATGAGGTTTCTTAATTATTTTATACTGAAGTGCTGATTATCTTTTAGACATGAAAAACATTTTTAGATTGCAATTACTTGTGACTTACAGACTTCTAATGCAGTCTTATTATACGGTTAGCTAAGTAATGGATATTGCTTTTGTGTATTCTGTATCTCTTGGATTCAGTCTTTATCAAAAAAGAATTGTTAGAAATGTAGCACATATTGATGTTACCATTGATTCTTTAACCCTTGCCATTTTTAGACTTAACTAACAATAGGCTTTGCTACTTTGCTAATACGACAGTAAAATCATACATCATTCTTGAGCTTTTCTATGGATGTTCTGTGACCCTCTCCTGTTTAACTTACTGGTTTGAACTTGTCCTTTTGGATGAACTATATAGACTATCATGGATGTGCTTAGTTATTCATATATTGAACAATTTTCCATTTGATTTTAACCACATCAATATGCATTACAAATATTTATTGTCATGAGAGGAGTGTCTATCTCTGCACTTATATGATTTTCTTACTTACAAAAACCTACACACTTAGCTTATGGGTAAAACCAGATGCAGAATACTTTGATTTAGTGGGGGCTGGGTCTCAATTTCTTTAGCCCTTTAATATTTGTGAGCTTTGTACGTTTTGCCTATCATTTGGTTCTTTGTCATTTGAAAAGGCTTCTGGTTCTCCGTTAAAACTCAAATTTTCAATTTTCTGGAGAAAACATGGTCTCCTTGGTTGCTCTCTATAAGGTTCATTTGCATTTCAAGGTTTGTAGCTATTAGACAACGATAAATGTTCATTGGAATGCTCTAAATATTGACCACTTACAATTTAGTCAACATGCCTATGGCATTTCAGGTATGAAGTTCTCATTGAAAATCTTATGGACCCTGCTCATGTTCCATATGCCCACCGTGGATTAATGCGTACAAGCAGTAATCCCAGACCGGTAACCTTTCACTTTTAACTATATCCTTGTGGATCATGATATTTTTAGCAAAGAAAAGTTATGATCCAAAAGATGGCTTTTTGGTATAAAGGGGAAACCACAAGTTTGTGTACTAGTTTCTATTTTTTTTCTCCTTCCTTCCCACATAGTTTTTGAAGTAGTTGTCCTTCCCACATAGTTTTTGAAGTAGTTGTTCTTCCCTTGAAGATTTTGAGCTTGTATTACTGACGGGTTTGTTTCCGTCACTATTAAGGTTGATCGAGAAGGTGGGCGGCCATTGGACATATCTATACTATCCCAAGACATTTCAGGTTTCCTGGCAAACCAAGAATTTGGATATGGCAAATTTATAGCCCCTTGTATTTTCTATGTCTCTGCTTTTTCAGGCTCAACTAATGAATCTATTAGCCAGGTAAGAAATGAAAACTGAGCATAGCTTTTTGTGGTTCGTGTTCTTTAATAATCTTGCAAGAAGGATGCCACATAGTTTTGTGTTTATTTTTCCATCTTGTCTTCTAACATTGTCATATTGCATGCTGCTAATGTCAGGAACCAGCTGCAGATGATCATAAGCCACAACGACCAGCTGCAGATTATCATAAGCCAGAACGGCTATTTCTTTTGATCTTTGTATGTATACCCGTGTCTCCAGGCAGAAGCAGATTAATTTGGTCATTTCCAAGGAATTTCTCAGTTTGGATAGATAAGTTGGTTCCAAGGTGGATATTTCACTTGGGACAAAATCTGATTCTTGATTCAGACCTTTACCTTGTTCACTTGGAGGTATAAGAACCGATATGGGCATCTAACTGTTTGATGGATTTCTTTAATATTTCATACAAAATTTAAACTATTTCCATTTTTCATATAGGTGTGATGAATTGTTTTTTCTTTTTCCTGTTTTAATACACTGACTATTGCAAATATGAAGTATATTGCTTGGTAATGTATTTCTTTTGTATATTAGGCTAAAAAGTTTCCAACAAACGTGATTGACATAGATTAGGAATGTGACAATGAGGATAATACTCTGTTGCAAAGAAAAGTTTTACTTCTCAGGGAGAGTGTAGCAGGTAACAAATAAAATTATAAATTGGATATTAAGGTATCAGGAATCCAGGGTTTTGTCATAAAGGTGATGTAGCGTGTTTTTTAATCTACTTCATGGAGTTATACTCCATACACCAGCTAATGCTGTTAGATACGTAGATTACTCAGTCAAACTTGGACTTTGCATTAGGCTTTACATTTTAGATTTTATTTGGGCCTGAATCGAAGATTACATACCATTGTATCTTTTTTTTGTAATCTTACATGATAAATTTTTATGGAAGGGACTTGGTTCCCTAAAGATGAATTTGGACTAGGATTCATTCTGAGCCCAAATCCATTCGACTTGACCTAGAGAGTCTCTATGTTTTTCTTCATTTGAGGCATGCCGAACATTGACGGAGATTTTTGAGCTATCCAAGCTGACGATTTGTTGTTACCCAGTTATTGTTTTAAGGCATTAGGCCACTTTTTCTCTTTATTTATGGTTTCTTTTTACTTTGGAAGTGCTTAAGATGTTGACAAGACCTTTCACACTGCTTTAGTGCAGTGGTTCAAAGAAGAACATATCTAGGGATGTCCTTCCCTGTTATGTTGCTGCAAGGAAAGAATATAAGTTTCCTTTATTTGAATTCCTGAAATCAGGAAAGCCATAATGGACCCATGTTCTCCTCCTTTTTCTTACTTTTATCTTCTTGTATATCATCTTCTAGCTAATCAAGGCCACCTTCCCAAACTGCTTCTTTTGCTATTTGAATTGTTAAATGTCATCCCAAGCACTTTCAAAGGCTGCAAGCGACTCATCTTTATGGATCATAAACTTTTGCAGATTATGTCAATGAGGATTATTTTAGGAAGTAACTGATTATGTTCTTTGATTTTTCTTTGCCAAAATAATTTAAATTGAGAAAATCACTAACCAGTAGCCTGAATATATTTCTTACAAATTCTCCTAGAACTATGTATTCCTTGTCTTTGCTTCGTACTTTTCTTTGCACCACTTTGTAGCCCAGTGTTACTCCATGAATATTACCTACAATTCTAGCAGATACCCATGATATATTAAATAATCTGACATGATCATTGTTCAAGGACTCAGTCTAATTCACAATGAATCGGCTGAGTCAATCGGACTTGGTCCCTTGCCAAACCAAGTATTGGGGTAAAACTGGTGCCATTTAAAAAATAAAAAAATGTAAAAATTATATGATAGTATGGAATCAATGTATAAAATTTTTATATGTAATTTGGGTCTTTTTTACAATAATTTTTGAGTTCTTCTTGTCATATGCCCTATTTTTATATTTTCCTTTTTTTGAGATTTTTGAAATGTCTCTAACCATAAATGAATTTTTTATAAATTCATGTTTTATAGTTTTTTTAACTTATTTGGATTTTTTATGTTGTCTTAGGTTTTGTTTTACTTTTACAATTTTTATTTTATTTTTATCAATTTTTTTTAATTTTTAGGGCCTTTAGAGCCCTGTACACTCAGCCGAGTTATTCGGCTCAGACCAGGGCCAAGTCCGAGGCCTGAGCAAAGTTTAAAAACATTGGACACAAATATGTATTGCTATGATTGTTAATAAATATGTTCCAAGGAAAACATTTGGACATAAAATAATCTTCTATGTGAATGCGCCTTGCTGAGATTCAACATATTACCTAGGGTTGGAATGATGATCTGATAAGTTCTGCCTATTAGATCCTTGAGATATGTCTCTCTGCAATATACAGCCAACCAAAGGTGGAGTTGAAATTTAATTTTAATAAATGCCACCACATTTCCATAAGGAAGCTGATCTTGTTGATGTTCAAAATTGATAGGATTTTTCATGTATTTCATTTCATTACAACTACTCATACATTTCGAATGTTTGTGTTGATGCAATTCATCAGTATTTTGCATTTTTTTAAACATCCCATCCTACAACAAATGCAATAGGAAATTCGGCATAGAGATTATTGTTCAATGACTCAGTAGTTTTCATTTCATTGGCTTCCTCTTGTATGTGTAGTTATCTTCTTCTTGATTGTGTGTATATTTTGTCCACAGTTATGGTTTACTTGGCTTTCCAAAGGAATTTTTAGCAGTCCACGTAGCATGCAGGCATTTATTTTGCATAAAATGACAGACTTCCAGAAGTAAGCGCATTGTTAACCTATTCTGTGCATGGATCTGAATTTGGATTGTTTTTTCAGGAACTTAAGATAATGGAAATAGGCCAGTCCAATTGGCTAAAGTCTTGTTTTGTACCAACAAAGTCAGATGCACTTGTAATTGCTTTCCGAAATTGGTTACGGAAGTATTGTGGTGGTCAGATTGATTGGGGAACAAAGTTCCATGGATATCTTCCACCAACCCCTCCAAAAGAGCAGCTCATGGACAGGTATTTTAACACAGTATCACTTTCCTGGGCACTTCTTTGATTAGTTATGCCTGAGCAAATTCCTATCGTGTTGCTGTATCATAATTTCTGCTTGCTTATCTAGGTCTTCTTCATCTTTTTCTTGTACACAGTTTTGCATGGATAATTTGATCTTTCATGTAGGTTTGATATTTTGTCATCAAGAAGAGATGGAGAGAGGAGAGAAGATTAGAAGAGTGATACAGGAAGGGAAGGTGGAAAATTGAATCCACCTTTTTCTTGAACCTCAAACAAGTAAAAACATGCAATTATAGAGAAAAGGCATGACCAAAAGGTGGGAAATTGGATCCACCTTTCTTGAACCTCAAACAAGTAAAAATCAGCAATTGTAGAGAAAAGGCATGGTTGTAGTTTCCTAGCATTGTTGTTGAAAAATACCGGAGCTCTAATACCAAATTGATACAGGAAAATTTGAGAAAATATTAAAATCAGCAAGAAACAAAGCTAAACATAAGCATAATTCAAAGAAACCTAAGGTTTATTCTCCACACCCAAGCTAGGGTTCCAAAAGCCTGAGCTTTTCTTTTTTCTCAATTCTGAAAAATCATGTGACTCCCTTCTCCTAGCCCCCCACGCACCTCTTTATAATATTATTTAATGTTCCAAGTACAAAAAGAAGTAATACATTGAACCATATATCTTAACATTGGTCTAAGAAGGGTGAGGACATTAAACTTTCCCTTAACCCATCCCAAGCCCAGGTAAAGGAGGCAGATTGTGTTAGGTAGGCAACCAACATAAAAATTTGCCAAAACTTTTTGTGAATCCTGAATTTTGTATATCCAACCCCAATTAGCTGGGAAATGGCTATGATGATAATGATGATGATGATGATGATGAACCATATATCATAACATAAACTTAAAATTCATAATGATAGTTTTATCCCTATGAACAATACCCGTGAATAGTGCTCATGAAGCAAATTTTTTTTTTAAAAACCCTAGATTCTCTTAAAAAACTAAAAACACCCTAGAAATAAACTCTAAACTAAAACTATAATATGTATTCTTTGAAATTGAATAAAAATTAAAAATAAGAATAATTTTTCCCTCTATCATTCTCCCTTGGTTGGAGAAACTCGTCCTTGAGTTTTGAAGTGTGCTAAGATGAATTCAACAACAAAACCGCCTTCTTTTATCCTTCTTTTTCTTTGTTGCCTCAAATATTATTCGTGGTAGAAAGATTTCCTCAAGAAACGATCTTGATATGTAGATTGAGGAATCGATGCAAATTTATCAACTATGGCTCTCCTTGAACTCCCATTGAAAATCATGCAGGAAACTCCCAATTTTCTGGTCTTTAGAGGATTTCTTGATATTTATTTTATCACGTTTTAAAATTAGAGCCACAATTTGTAGTTTATGAGTTGACCACGTTTCTTCTGTGCTACTCTAATTCCAATATCTTGAATGCTATATCTCTTTGATATTAATGAGATCTTCAAAGGTCATGATTTGGATCATTCTTCCTGCTGCCTTCTCTTCATATTCTTCATCCTCTTCCAAAATCTCTTCATCATCATCTTGATCCTTATCATAGATTGGATCTCCTAAATAATATTGTTGTTCATTGGAGTATGTATCGAAGATTGATAGTGAATCCCAATCTACAACTTGCTGAGTTTTGATGCAATATGTATCAAATTAAGAATCTCATCTTTCAAATCGAAAACCCTGGAGTGATATTCACTATGTCTAAATTAACATTCTAAAAAAGAACCGATATTCCCCATGTCTAGGTCTTCGCCACTATCTTCATCACTCGACCCCCCCACGCGGAGTCGAAAGTGAAAAAGCTTGTACTCGAGGTCCTCTTAGGTTGAAAGATCATCTTTTTGCCCATTATTGAGGCTTGTGAATTGTTGTGTCAGCTGCTGGACTTGCCTTTCAAGTTCCTCATTCCGTCATCTTTGAGATCACCAGGTGTAGGTCTATGAAACCCCCTTCCCACAGTCCCTTCTTGCTGCCGTGGGTTTGCTGAAATCACAAATCCTAGGCAGATGATCAACAATAACCTGCTAAAATCAGTTAGATCTAGGCTTATTTGGTAAATCTTGGGCCAAAATCAGTAAACTCTAGACCCATCTGTGACTTCCCAGCTTTGTTGTTGAAAAAAACCCTGAGCTTTGATATCAAATTGATACAAGAAAATTTGAGAAAACAGTAAAATCAACAAGTTACAAAGCCAAATACAAATATAATTCAAAGAGACCTAGCTTTTCTTCTCCACACCCAAGCTAGGTTGTAAAAGCTAGGGCTTTTCTTTTTTTTCAATTCTGGAAAATCACATGACTTCCTTCTCCTATGCCTGCACGCACCTCTTTATATATAATATTTAGTACAAAAAATATCCAAACAAATTAAACTTAAAATTTATAATGATAATTTTACCCCTATGAACAGTTCTTGTGAATCGTACTCATGAAGTAAATAAAAAATATAAAAAACCTGGAATCCCTATAAGCCAAAAAACCTTAGAACTAAACCCTAAAACTAAAATTACAATATACATCCTTTGAAATTGAATAAAATTAAAAATCGATTGATTTTTCCCTCCATCAAAGAGAAAGATAGATTGGCATGAATCCCCAATTAGTTTGTGTTTGGGTTGCTTCTTCATTATGATTAAATATCACATTACTGAGTATTAGGGCATGTGAAACTAAATAAATTCTCTTAGCATCAATGGATATTACAAAATTATTTAAATAACAAAGTAATAAAGATATTAATGCCCCTTATATATATATAAAATCATGATAGATAATCTTAATAAGGCACAGCCCCCACACCCATCCCTCCTCTTCCATTGTTCTTGAGCATGTATAATTTGTTCTTTAGAAAGTGATGCTACTTACCCAAAAAAAGAAAAGAAAGTGATGCTGCTCACTAGCGAGCCCTTTAGTGGAAATGTCTGCAATTTTATTTTTTGCACAATAAATCTGTTTCAATTGCCCTACTTCTATCGTATCACACACAAAGCGATATTCAATATCTATATGCGTACAGTGGTCATGAAAAATAGGATTAATTGTAATAGCAAGTGCACTCCAATTGTCACAACAGATGGTTGACTGTTGTTCTTTATAACCAAGTCATACAATTCAGACGTCATATCCAAGAAAACTCTGCTACATTGCTTGCCAATGTTCTACATTCAGCCGCCAAACTTGATTTTGCCAAAGGACTTTTCCTTCTTGCTCCTCCAAGATATTAGTTTTCTTTCTAAATAAACACATTATCCCAAGACTGACCAATGTGAATGAAGAAGTCATGCTTAGTCAGCGTCAGAGTAGTCAATGATGGAAGCAACACTCACATCATTCATGTGATTTTTCAAGTATGTAATGCCTTAATTATTGGTTCTTTTCATATATCAGATTATATGTTTAACGCCTCCATATGAACATCACTAGTTTCATGCATAAACTAGAATAGCTGATTTACTACAAAGGTTATATCAGGATGAGTGAGGGTGAGATAATAAACTGTCTGTATGCTTCAGACTTTTCTGGTTCTTCAAGTAATTTTCCTTCATTTGCTTTCAATCTGTTGTCTCGCATTGCTGGAGTGGTTGGTGCTTTGAAGTGCAACTACTTGATTCTTTCAACTAAATCAAACACATATCTATGTTGAGATAATCGGAGTTCATCTTGAGTTTGATCCACTTATCCCCAGAAAGTACTGAACCTGTCCCAAATCTTTCATCTGAAATTGCCAACAAAGAACCTCTTGTTGTGGCCATAAGATCTGAAGAACTTCTTGTAATGATGATGCTATTGACATACTAGAGGATAATGACTATATCTCTGGTTCTCCAATGAATGAAAATAAAACAATCCACTGCTGTTCTCATGAACCTGTAATCCTTTATTTCATGATAAGAGGTTTGAAACTAAGTATGAGAAGCTCTCTTCAATCCATAGATGAATCTATTCAACTTACAAACATAGCCTGAAGAATCCTTCTCATTGAAACCTAGTAGCTGCTCCATGTATAGCTCTTCTTTTAACTCACCATGAAGAAATGCTTCTTCACTAGAACCTTCACTAATGTGTCATCATAATTAAAGTGTTTAAAATCTTCACCAATGTGATGAGGCACACTATCATCAACAGTGTTAAGCTGATGGATATTGTTACGAGCATGCCAAAACAAACTATTCCATCACTCAATACGGATTTTCGTGTGCCATAAACTATACCCCTGTAAAATTTTCTTCTTGAGATATGATGGCCTTAGGTTGATTACAAATCCTCATTTCATTTATCTACATGTGAAATGAGGACTATTTAAATCTAGAGCTATAACAATAGTAGCCCTTTTAGCTGCCACCCCATAAAGATGCACATTTTGCCTTAGGAGAGTGCTTCTTTCTTGGGCTCTTGTCTATATGGACTTCAGAAAAACATTCAAAATGTTAAAGAACTAAATAAGATGCATTCTTACTATAGAACATATCATAAGGAGTTTGGTCATTCAAAACATCCATGGGCAGCCGGTTTATGATATAAATTGCATGTGAACAATTTAGTCCCTAAGTACTTTGGGTCCCAACTAGTGGACATCAAGGAAAGAGCAACCTCATTGATATGCTCCATTTTTTTGTGGAGTATGGGGGCGTGAAATTTGTTGCTCTATCCCATTATTCTTTAAGTATATCCTAAAACCATGAGATTAGTGTTCACCCCCTCCATCACTCAGAGAAAACAATATTGATTTATGAAAATGTTTTTTAGCAAATATTTTGCATTGCAAAACCATAGCGGATACTTGAGATCTTTATTTGAGAAAGTAGATCCAAGTGTATAATGTGAAATCATCTGCAAAGATTACATGGTATTGTGGAAGCAGTGGCTGACGGTGTTCCGCATACATTGGAATGTATTAACTCACGAGATGAGGAAACTTGGTTATTAGAATGAGAAAAAGAAAGTTGGGAATGCCCACCCAATTGACATGCATGGCAAATAAATAGAGGTAGACTCCTGGACAATGAGGGGATCAAACTCTCTTTACATAATTTATTGACTGACTCCATTGCTACGATACCTTAGACAATGATGCCAAACACTGACATCACCATTACTTGGAAAGAAGACACTAGTAATGGAACCTTCCTTGATAAACATTCATCTAATACATATTTATGTCTCGCCACGTGCACTAATGAATGTGGTTCCATCAAAACAACAGAAGATTGTGTAAATACGAAATATGATTTGTTTCCTTTAGTTAATTGAGAGATAGAAATAAGGTTGTGCTTGATTTTGGGAACTAAAAAGACATTATTTAAAAGGACAGGACCCATGGAAGAATTTACAAGGAAATTACCTATATGAGTTGTAGGAATATGACTCATATTCTGTTAATACAGAATTACTACCATAATAGGAGGTAAAAGTTAAAAATTTACCAGGATTACTCGTGACATGGTTGGCTTCCTTGCACCAATCAATGCTTGATCATTCAGTGAGGTCAATGACATATTTTACATCGAAGTGTTAAGGGCAGCAACTCTGTCTCCATTGTTTAAGTTTTCTCTTCTTTGATATTAGCCATAGTAGCAGTACACCACAATGTAATTTTGGCAACCACAAATTTGGTATGTCATAGCATTATTTCCAACAAATGGAATTTCATTGAAAATTATTTGGTGTTGGTAAAAGTTCTTGGTTAGGCGGAAACGAGCAACCTCCACCTCTTCTTCCATTGCCTCTTTTGCCACAACCATGTCCACGGCCTCCTCTTCCTTCATTATAAGACCCCAGGGTTTTTTTCATTATTGTATAATGGAGAATGAGGGTTATTGTAGAATGAGAAGGAATAAATATTACGCCAATAAAGTGGTTAAGTAATGGAGAGATAAAGGAGTAAGGTAAATTGTAAAGTTTCTAGAATTAGCTTCTTTTTCAAGTGGATTGAACAAGAGAAATTAGGACTTTTGAGAAGTTAGGATTTTGATAAGAAAGTGCCCTGGTCCTGGAGATATGGGCTGTGAAATTTCAATGATTTGTTGGGGCTTTTGAGGGAAAGGACGAGAGAAATTAGGGTTTTGATGGGAGAGAGTTTCATTGGTGAAGATAAAGGCAGTAAAATTTCAGCATGAGCAAAATGTTCTGGCAAATTTCAGTGAGAGAGGATATTCCCTTCTTTTCTATTTGGTGCAGGTAAAAGATACATAAGGAGAGACTAGGGTTAAGAAATAGAGGAAGATTTTCAGATTTGGTGTATGACTTGAGATTAAAAGAGAGAAAGACATTAGGGTTTATAGAATGATGGAGATTTTGACATGGGGACTGATTTCAGATTGAGAGAGGGAGATTGAGATTTCAAGTGAGAACTTGAGAAATCAAAAATAAGATTTGAGTTTGAAATTAATAAGGTAAGAATGAGAAGGGGTCGGGGGAGATGTTGAGAATTTGAGCAAAAATGTGAGGAATCAATAATAAGAATGGCGTTTGGGATTAAAGAGGGTATGGGAGGTGTCTGTGTGGCTATGGGAATACATAGAGTGTGCAACGGCTAGTCCTGCTCTGATACCTTATAGGCTTGATAATTTGTCATCACGAAGAAAGAAAGATAAGAAGCAAGAGAAAGTGGTATGAATCCCCAGTCAGTGTGTGTTGGGGTTGCCTCTTCATTATGCGATTAAATATTACATTGTTGGATGTTAGGGCATGTACACATAAATGCAAACAATGCATAAATGCCCCTAACATCCAGGGATATCACAAAGTCATAAATTAACAAAGTAATAATGACAGCTATGCCTCTTATACATGAAAGGAAGTCATAATACAATCTTAACATTCATTCATTGACACATCAATGATATCCTCATGTTGAGTTTCTTGCATTTAGTTCATAAAAGTGAACAGAACTAATAACATAAAAGAGGCCTGATTCATTTGCATGTGGCTGGTCCCTTCCGATGAGCCTTGGTCTAGATTAAGTTCAACTATAAAATTAACGAGAAGTTTTCCTATGTTTTTCCTTCATGTTCTCCTTGATCGACTTACCAAATAAGAGAAGATTTATGTAATCATTTTCATATCCGGTGTATTTGCAGATAAATGGTTGGAAGGTAGGCAGGCAAAGATTGGATGATCTTCAATCTCCAATCAGTATCACACTCCATGGTCCAGACTTTTACTAATTACTCTATGGTCTCAGTTCATTGTCAAGTTAGTTCCCGTTGAAGCATCAAATATGTAACCTGCTGAGCACAAAATGTTAGAAGTGCTTTCTTTTTGCAATGTGTGGTGAAGGATATTATATATGGCCCTTGTGCTTAGCGATAATCTGATGCTTGTCATAACTAAATCAGAAACTCTCTGGAAAATCTTCCAATGATGATTCTAGTCAAATTGCATGGATTGCGGTAAAAAAATGTCTCTACATTTGTAAAAATCTCATGTCAGATCTTACCCTAGTGTTATAGAGAGGAGGGAATGATGGTGTTGAAGAGTACACATGCCACAAACTTGACATCCAAACGGTTAATTACTATAAATTCATATATCAGCATATGGAAGCATCATTGTCTAGATATTTTATCGAATGAAAACAATTGGAGAAAATTATAATCATTCAGAAAATAGTAGGAAGAAAAACAAGAACTATATCTTTTCCATTCTTATTCTCTTAGAAGTGTGATGCGAAATGAAAAACAATGTGCATTTTAAGTACATTTTCTGCCCTCCAAGTTATTTCTATTGTAATATTTGATTATTTTTAAACAATGTCTGGAAATGAGAGAATGATCCAAAAATACATCAACTGTTTAGACCTTACTCCAAAACTTTTCTAACAAATTCAGTTACTTCATTATGTATGTCTCTGCACATTCTTGATATCTCTTGACAATGTGAGCATTAACATCTCAAGCTTGTTAGCCAATTTATTTGACATTTAAAGTAAGATGCATTGTGCCCATTATTTTCAATTGGGAAGCATTCATTACAGTTTTCTGTCTTCTTAACCATTTGGTAACTCAATGGATTTTTTTCTTTTCCTTTCCAAAGGTTGATATGTACAAAAGTTTTATCACTAAATATTGTTCTATCCTGAATATCAAGGATTATGCATAATTTATTGAGTAATCCATATATTTTGGAAATATGGTCCTGTATATTCTGCTGTTCCATGGCACTAGTAATAGATTGATAGCTTACACAATTATATTGGATCTTTTATTGATACAGAAAAGTACACAGAAAAATACACAAAGACCATTTATTTTTGGCACAGCAGGTCACAATCGCTATTGACCATAATTTGTGAAATCGGACGGCAAGGAGTGTGTGATTGATTGGGCACAAAAACCAAAATAAAATTTCTATAAGTGTGTAACATACCCTTGCCTGTCTGATCTCATATTTGTTATCTAAGATTGATTATGACCTTCTTGTACTAAAAATGAATGGTCTTATAGTATACGATCCCTATTTGCATCTAAATGTTGTAGCTTCAAGTGAAATGGATTACTTGCTGTCGGTTGTTTCCCTGGTTCTAGAGTCCTAATTAGGGAAACTAGGGTCCGTAGGTTTCCCTAAAAACCGAGGAATTTATTGAGAGATCTGGCGATCAACTTGCTTTGCATACAAGGGCTCAAACAACCCTCATTGCTATTCCAGGTACTGCTTCAATTGGATAAGAGTCAGTTTGCAGAAGTGAGAAAAGTTTTATCAGATGCAACCCCATAGATGCAGTAGTTGGATCTGCAATTATGAGAGAATATGAAATTTAGTTTCTGTTGGCACCAGCCAGTTTTGGGAAAATTTTTCCCCTTACGATGTCGGACAACTAGTTGAGGTATGAAGGTTCAATGAACAATCTCTAGAAAAGTGGCCTCTGAGAGCCTTCGATAAGACCTTTTGTAATTTTTCCCGACAGAATGGAAGTCAATCTTAGTCGGTTATAGTATGCTCAAGAAAGAATCTTAGTCATTCTAGTTGGTTGTACTCTAGTTTTTAAATTTGCATTAGTGTATCCAGCATCAGTACCATATCGTATCAATACTCGTACTCAAAATACTTACAAATACGTGGGTGAATCTTTGATTAAGACAACTATGGGAGAACATGGGCAGAGAAGAACCCAGGTTAATAACATATCATCGTAAGGGTAATTTTTAGTTGCTGAGAGTGGCATTAGAATTCAATCATTACTTAACTCAGAGAATCTTGAAAAAGATTTTAGTTGGACAAATTATGATATTTGCAGGCCTACTCCTACTATCTTGGACACGTATACAGCATTTTTTTAACATAGCTCACCATCTTGGTGATTTTGTAAGCTGCTCCCATGCATGGAAGACTATTTTTTGTACTTAGTCATTATACCTTTCCATACAAAATTAACTTTCTCTTAAAAAAAAAAAAAGAGTGAAAAAGAAGAGGTGAACGTGAATGCAAGACAGGGACGGACACTAATTACGTGTATACAGTATGCAGATATATGATAATCATTCGAAGTTCAAGTTCATTTTTCAATATGCTTGTTCTAATTTGATAATATTTCCTTGCAAGCTTGGTCACATGGACAAGAAAGAAATTCTGGTTTTTGTATATTTTGGCATTAACATTATTGTTTTGATTCGATTTTTCCTCAACAAAGATGGTTGTTTGGCCAAAGATGAATCCTGGTTTTCTTATATCACTATTACCTTTGTGAATTCCTAAACTCTTTCTAAACACCAAATCCTCACACATCCTATTCATGTTGTGCCTTCCAGATACTGGTCACATGTGGTTCACTGCAGCAGCTGTCGTGCAGCCTTGAAATATCTAAAAGCACTTGAGATTTGTCTACAAACTCTGTCAATAACGTTGATTGGTGTAGTCGCGGCGTTTTGGCAGAGCATACCATCCACTGTTGCAAGGATTTTACTTGTCTCCGCTGCTATACTCAGCTCACTCGCATCGAGGTGGCTCGCAGATTTCATATACAAGAATTTCTATTTCCATGACTACAACCATGCGCTGATATGAGAGAAGGATTGTTACTCATCACATTCTTGTAAATATCATGTGAAATATTAGCTGATGTGAACTGGTCTCATGTTAAACTTGAGTTTGTTATATATCACCAGGGTTTTATGGTTACTGAGTGATAAGCTTTTAAGTTGGTTAATGAATGATAAGCTTTTAAGTTGGTTTACTCTTCTGAGTATTATTGAATTGTAAGCTTTTAAGTTGGTTTACCCTCAAGCCAATGCAGCAATGATAGATGTCTTAATGACAGAAAGATATCAAAAAGTAATTGGTTTGGGCAGTAGTTTTACATTTATTGGACTTAACCTAATATTGCAAATGCTCCTCAATCCCAGGTAATAGTGATAAAAGGCATCACCTTGTGATTTTGCTTTTCATAATGCTGATGGCTTGGCATATTGAACTTAGATGGCTTTTCTGAGCAATGGAAAGGAAAGGAACAGTATGCCAACCCAATGAGGTTCTAGGTCAATTATTATGCTTTTCATGGAAAAAAAGGAAATAATCTATGTCCGATATTAGATACCCAATTCCTATATTTGCAAAGTCAAAAGATTTCGCTCGATGCTACTCCCTCAAGTGAATATCAATATTGGAATACTTTTAGAACCCCAAACTTTGGGTCTAGCGACCGATTTCGAACAATAGAATTTCTTTTGAACACCCTATCTATGAACTTGAAGAAAACATCATTCCAAAAGTGAATGTAGGTTGTTCAATTTTTGGATAGCCAATTCTAATTGGCAAAGAGTTAAATGGTATTTGGTGCGACATTGTGATATGACCAATCCTAGCCATCCATTCAGATTAAATGGTTGAGAATTGAGGTTACATATAATTTATATGTGGATGGGGTCACGTAGAAAGCTTTACACGTGTATAATTTACACGAGGAATATACAAGCGAGTAGCTGATCCGGACGCTGTGGTTGCTCCATGGCGATACAAACTCAACCTGCTCCTACCCACCATGGGGCACCATAGCATGTCAGAATAAGGGGGGACATATTGGAGTCCACAAGGCTGAGATGGAAGGGCCTCTCAGGAGCTCACAATGTGCAAGTGTCCTCTCTACATTACTCGAAGTACATAATCAAGGCTCTCAACATGAGAAGGGACAACTCCAATCTTGTGCAAAAACGCTTAGGCACCCCTTCCAAGTTTAATTTAATTTTGAAAACCTTGAAGTACACTATAAAGTACACCATAGGGTACACTGAACAGTAGTTCACACCCAGACCGTAGTCCATCCTTCAAAATATTCCCAAGATTTGAAAAATATTCCAAAATACCTATCTTATAAAAAAATGACCCAAATTAGGTAGGTCCCACACTCACAATGCATGAAAACATTCAAAATAACTCAAAAACCGAAAGATATGAGAATATGTACTAGACAATATCACAACAACGGCAAGTATGGAAATTTTCACGAAAGAAGTGCGTGCTTCACTCCAACGACACGGGGAGTGTCACTAGGCCCAGAGGGCTCAGTGACATGCCTCACTTCACTTACCCATGGACAGTCTAAATTTTCTCCAGATCGCAGTTTTCGCACTTCTTGGGTTTTTTTTCTTATAAATAGTTCAGTTTTGAGGACTTTAAGATGCATAACCTTAGTGTTCGAGACCAGAAAACATAACTATCTAACAAACCCTAAACTTAGGCCGTTGAAACCCTAGATCTAGAACTGTAACTTGGCCACTTTAAAAAAACAAAACAATCTTTCATTCAAGTCGAAAGCCCTAGATGTAAATTTTTACGCAACTCTCTCTTCCTAGAGTGAAATCAAGTATGGATCCACATCTTGAATATTAAGGAGGAACGACTCTAATTTTTGCCGTTTGATCAGGCCCAACTCTAGGTGCTGGCCATGAGGGCTTGGCTTTCAACGTATTTGTCATTTTTATTTTGTTTTCTCTGTTTTTTCCTTTTTATTGTAGTATTATCATTTATGTTATACAAAATCCCCTTTAAATCTTCTTATTTTCTTTCGACTTTTGGTCTTTATTTCGGATTTTACACGAACCTAAGTTGGCTTGGCCTATGATTTGTGAGAAGAGAGATCTTTCAAGACTAATATGCTCATAAATCATAATTTGACATAACCTATCTCTTCTGAAATATTAAAAATATAAATTGGGATAGGATCTTAGACTGATTGGATTTTGAGTACTGTGATATATCTTGGATTCGGATGATGAATTCCTTTTGGAACGTGTTTGTTATTAGGCTTGGGTCTTAATGATGGCCATTGTAGGTGTGTTTCACCTCTACAATATGGTTTGACAAAAGATGATGAACAAAGGTGTAAGAGGTGAACAATTATTCATGACTCTCTCTTTCTGATTTGCACAAATGGCATAGTTACCATTTGGATTCCCCATATTTGGACACTATCATTTATAAGAACCTCTTTTGGTATGCCAAGCAAGCGAACCAGGAAACCCTAGGGTGGATTGGGCTTTTCCATAATTCTTTTAGGATATCATTTATCATTTTATGTTTTCTAGTCACCTCATGGACACCCGTGAGAAAGAAGTACCCATCTTGAGATGGAATCTAGCATATTTATGCTACCCTGTCATTGTGCATTACTTTATGGGAATGATGCTATTGTATAATTTAAAGAGAAAATTTCATATAAAACTCTAATTCCTCATATTATTTTATGGTAGATCATCCTTCCGTTTTTCTTTCAAGCGGCATAATGAAACCTTTAAATATTTCACCATACCTCCTGATATCTTATCTCCCTTTTTTATTGATCATTTCAACCCAAAAACTTTTGTAATGGGTGGAAAGGGAAAAAAATGATTAAAAAATATTTTTGGTTGAAATGGTATAAAAAGATTTGTTGGGGTTAATTTTATGATCAAAAGTTAATAAAAGAGGGAGATAAGAGATGAGAGGGTACGGTGAAATCGTTGGAGGTTTTCTTATGCCGCTTGAAAGAAAAACGGAAAAAAGGTCTACCATGAAATAGTACAAAGACTTAGGGTTCTATACAAAATTTTCTTAATTTAAAGTATATCATGTATAGCTTTTCCAAGCTCATGAATCTCTTTGAACTGAGGGTCTCACAAATGGTGTCCTCAAAGGTACTTATTTTTAATTAATGTGAACCACAAATCAGTTATCAACTGCCATCCTAGCAGGGTTAATGTTGTATTTTTAGCTTTGAAAAATACTTATGATTATTAGAAAATAGTATGCCTCTTGTTCCTTAACGTTTTGGAAAGAGTAAAGACTAGAGAGAGTTACCTTATTAATGGTTGAGATGTAATAATGGTGAGTTAAGTCTAATAGTATCATTCTCACTATTGTAGTATATGGTTAATTATATCAAGGTCACTCATGGTTAAGAACACATATATGTAAGTAGTCAATATTTGGTTAGTGTATAAACTTTTGACAAATTGGTAAATAATGCATAACGTTTAAAATAAGGATTCGGTTTCTATGCGGCCAAGCCTGCGTATGTAGTAATGCGGGCCTCTTAATAAATCTATTTTTGAGAGGTGTTCGCATATGTAGAAATGCGGTCCAGCCCGCATGAAATAATTTTCCTTAAAATAATCTACAATTTATAACTCCCATACATTATAAAAGTCTAAAAAGACTTACAATTTTTTTTTGACCAATTTAAAATAATCTATATATGTTAAACCCAATTTCTATGAGTAACTCTACCATAAATTATAAGGTAAGTGTTGTCTTAAAGAGGCATGCTATTTTTCTACAAACAGGGACCTATTCCCTCCTGTTTTGTACATAGAAAGAATACGAATTTTTATGAGATTTTTATGAGAACTTTATCTTTTTAAAAGTGGCACTTTATCTTTTTAAAAGTGGCAACTCTGATATTCTAGATCTTGCAATACTTGTATATTTGTATTTGTAAGATAGTTTCATCATGTTCCCATATATACCGAAACGACCGGTATTTAAGTGGAGACTAATTCCTATCAGTAAGGGACACATGTTATCTTGAGAAAGCAATTTAGTGTGCCTGGGATCGTAGATTAAAACCCATTTTGTTTTCTTTCATACCATATTCTTGTCCCGTTTCACCCCTCAATTTCCAAGAATTAATAGGGTAAAATTGTTTTCCTTGATTTTTTTTTTTTTATGACATGCACAACTTTATGATTGGGTTTGCACACTGAGTTCTAGTTATCAAGGCTTAGATATTTTTCTGTTAAATTGGTTGACCCAAAGGTAGGCCCTTTGAACTTTATCAAGGATATTGATTATAGTGGAAGGAAGTTTGAATACAAAACACCAATGAAGTGTGCCTGGGTTTAGGTAGGAATTCATGAGTGCTGGTCTTCCTAGATATGTAGGGGTTTCTATTTTCTGACCTTTGAGCCTAAGAACATAAATTTATCAAGTAGAGGTTGGCATAGGTGATTTGTGAGTTTCCCTTTGAATGGTGGCAAACCAAGTTAACTTGGGGCTAGCTCCAAGGGTTTATAATTTAAAAAAACAACACTTTGTTTTTGACAAAGTTGGGAGAATTGAAGAATAATATATGAGTTTTGAAATGGTTTTTCATCTTGAGAGATTTTGAAAATGGTTAATGGAGGTTTTAAGATGATTAGTTTGTGAATGAATTTTTCCAAAGATTAGAAGGTCAGTGCTGAGTGGGTAGTAATGGGTGGAGGAGACTGTCAGGATCTTGGGTGGTATGAATTTTTTTTCTTTCCCCCATCAATAGCCATATTTTCATGATTTAGGTTTAGGATGCCTATGGGGGGTGTTTTTTATAAGTTCCGGTGCTATAAGTTGGTCTAGGTTTCTATATATCGGACACGGTTTCTACGAGTCTTGGAACTCATATGTAGAAATGAGTCCCCTCTTAGAATACCCTTTTTTGAGATGGGTTTTGGAGCTAAAGTTTTTTAAAATATGTAATATCTAAGTTGGAGATCATTAATATGTGGGAATAACTAAATTCTTAAAAATAAAATAATAAATTTTGACTATTGGTTTTAGTTTTTTTAAGGGACTACTCATTTGTATCCATCTTTTAGATGAATGTTTTATTCCTCGAGGGATGCAAGTATAAAAATGCGTCCCCCGATACATATATTGAAATGTCATCTCATCTCTATTAATATGGTTGGTGGAGATTAGCTTTGTTTGGTCAGTGGTCGAGTTATGCAATGGATAATTCATGTAGATCGTCTATAGTTGTATGAATGGTGGAGATGTCATGTACCCTACCGTTTGATATATGTTCTATTGTTTTTTCAAACGTGGACTCATATGTGAGCGATATTATACATCTACTCCCTTGGTCAAAAAACCTTTTTGAGAATCACTTAATCACTAGATGATTCTTTTAAAAGAAAAAAATATATGAATTTTAAGTTTGTTAACACTTAGATTTCACCCCTCCGTTCAATCTTGAGATATTATTATCTTTTTAGGGCATACGAGTAATTTGCAAAATTTTTATTAAGGTTAGGCTATGGGTTAAAGAGGTTACCATTTCAAAACTTGGGGGTCCTACCGTATAAAATTTTGGGTAAAAAGATTGGTTCTTGTTACCTTTCATACAAAAAAAAGCTCTTTTTCCCTAAAAGGAGTTAAAAAAAGATATCATGGATATTGTAGGGAAATTGTATATAATGAGACTATTTATCTTTGGTACAAGGAGGTCACAATTACTTGCAATCATCTGATGTGAAATCTAATGGTTTAGGCGTGTCATAAAGTTCAAGAATATTTCTTTTGAATTTTGAATTTGGTCAATAGAATAAACGTAACCACTCAATTTCACATCTAAAAGTCAAAGATTGATTGTGACTATCTTGTATTAAATGTAAATAATCTTATTATATATATTTTTATTTTAGAATCTAAATAACAAAGAAATAAAATAAAAAATCTTCATGAGCATTCTTAAAATCATCCGGACTACAAGAAATCTAAGTCATCACCATGTCAATGGCATGGACGGAGTTGGAAAGGGCACGGAACCCACTCTCTCCATCACTGTCCACCTCATCCATTGGAGGGTGATGGCTCTCGTCGATGCAAGTCGAAACCCTAATAAAGGGTTTGGTCATGCGTCGATCAAGAAAACATGCAGGTAGGACATGTATTTTGCGAGGTAAGTTGTCACGATTGGTGAGCGCGGGCATGAGTCCCTCTCACCCTACCATTCATTTTCTATTCAACAACCGGGAATCTCTCTCGTATTTTCAGGTTCCAAAAAGTTTATATAACGTTGCAACTTTTTATTATGGGTGTGGTTTCAACAACCGGGAATCTCTCTCATATTTTCAGGTTCCAAAAAGTTTATATAACGTTGCAACTTTTTATTATGGGTGCGATTTCAATAAGGTTGCAACATGAAACAATTCAATTAAGGTGCACTTTCAAATTTTATCATAATATCTGATTTTGGTGTAAAAAATGTTTATGATTATTTCAAATCTATTTTTATATCTAATTATAAAATTTTAAATTTAAAAAATAGTTAAAATTAAGTAGATACATAAACATATGAAAATCTTAAAAATGGACGATCTAGCTAATATATAGCAAGATGCATTATTTCTAACACTCATTATTTTTATTTTTTTTCATATTCATATATCTCGATGATTAAGGTTTGTCAACAATAAAACAACTTTTTTAATAGACTTTTGAGGTGCATCTTTAATTCCACATTTTAAGGTTTCAACCTTATATAAACTTTTTCCTTATATTATTGAATTAAAGTGCATGCCAAAAATCATACATAAAAAAGTGCTATGGTGTTGGAGAACCCTCAAATTGATCATCTCGATCTTGAGATGTATAGATATGTAGAGAAAAGAATTTTAAATTTTAAAAATAACGTATCTTCAAACAACTTATTTAGACAATCTATTTTCAAGAACAACTTACCTAGATCGTTCATTTTCAATATTTTTTAAAAGAAAAAGTTTATATAGAGTCGATGCTCTATACAATCACCTCAAATTTTCTCAAATTGATCATCTCGACATCAAGATGCACGGACCTGAGAAAAAAAAAAGATTTCAAGTTTTGTAAATAGTGCATCTTGTAACGCATTTTTGGACCATTAATTTTTAAGATTTTCATAGATCTGCTCAATCTACACTATTTTTGAAGCTTTAAATTTTATAATTAAAGGTGAAAAAAATATTTTAAGGCTATCACAAAGATTTTCAACATTAAAACCTCATTTCTCGATACTATTTAAAGGTGCACTTTCTTTTGATTGTTTAGAGCCTCGGCTTTATATAAACCACACATTTTTTATAATATTTATTAACTTGTTCAATACATGCCATTTTGAAATTTAAAATGTTATAAATAAGATTAAAAATAGATTTTCAAACCAAGATTAAAAATAGATTTTCAAGCATCTCTAAAACAAATTTTAGCAAAATTTTAGAGATGCACGTGTGTACGGAGAGGCAACCTTATACAAACATTATTTAAGGTTAGTTCATAAGTGGAATTTTTTAAAAAAATTAATCAATCTTAAGACCACACTTTCTATGCAACTTACGTCCAACTAACTTTTTTTTGCCTCACTTTATTTCTCAAAAAAAACCTTCTATACAAATATCGTTAAGTGAAAAAGTTCATATTTTTTAGATTGAAATGTCATTCCCATGTACAAAAAATCATTTTGCCACGTTGACTTTTAGACTGGGTAGCACATTGTCGGAGCGCACTATCACATTGCCGGAGAGTATAAGGGCCGGACCGCTTGAAGATAACTACTGAACCAAATTACCCTTTACATAGTACCTGAGCCTTAGAAACCTTGGAATATAGTAACATCTACATGCATACTATTCTTTGCAAGTATGAGACTGCCCTTTTCAATTGTCGGATAGCATTTTTACACAATTCTAAAACGGGACCATATTTTATACACTATTGGAGCCATGAGACCACACCTTACATCATGCCAGAGCGCTTACCGCACCTTACATCATGACAGAGCGCTTGACCTTATTTACAGGACAGCACTTATTTTGTGGGATAGAGGAGAGAGGCGTGGGTAAGGTAAAAAGTAAGATAAGGTGGTTTAGGTGTTTATTTTTATTTCGAGCGAAGAGGATTTGCGTATTTTTGAAAAAAACAATGAAAGAAACAGTTAAATTAGGGGTCCGTTGCATCGAGACTATTATATTTGGGGGGTGTTTTGCAATGTTCCCTTCATAATTTGCTCACTCACTCCCGTTTTTAGGTGTTGCTTCTTAGAGAAGAGTAAAACCCGTGTTTTTCTCTTCTCCAACTCCGAGACTCCAATCGTCCAAGAAAAGTAAGAGAAAGAAGAAACGACGACCGTTCCCTGAAATGATGAGAAGAGGGGCCCTCCTTCACTAGACCCATCCACGACAAATTCAGTGGACTTCAAGATCCACTTCCAAACTCTCTCTGTAATGGCTGATTTCCTTTTTCTCTCTCTGTAACTGCATTCTCTCTATTGAAGTCTTTCCTTAAAGATCTGTTCTCTCTGGCATAACAAAACCCGAATTCTTCATCATGGCTGATATGAACGGTGCAGAGCCTCTAGGGCAAAACCTCATAAAACTCATCAGCAATGTCTGTTTCTCTCTTTTTGTAATGTCGGTCCTCATCTTCACAGTCATTGCAATCACATACCAACCCCCGGACCCCTGGCTTGAATCCACCAAAGCCATCACCGCGGCTTTCTCTCGCTATGAAAACGCTACATTTCACCCTGATGATTCTGTCCTCAGTACTGGGGAAGATTTGGTCGCAATTTCTCCTGCTTCTTCACCCACTGATCGCCCACTCACCTTTGAAAGTCTAGAACGAGAGGCCAGTGATACGATACAGCTCCTGAATTTGACTGAGAGTTGCGAAGATGCCTCTCTCCCCATCAATTGCTCAAACCCTAGTGTTCGTGTCACGATCGAGAGGTTCAATTTGAAGGTATTTTCTGGTATCAATTTCTTTGATTATCAAACACCAGTTCGTGGCTCTAAGCCAGATGAGTGTGATGTAGCATGGAGATTTAGATCGAAAAAGGAAAAATCATGGAGAAAATATAGGGATTTTAGGAGGTTTAGGCTTAGAGTTCAGGAAAATTGTAGATTTGAAGTGGTTAATGCTGGCAAATGGCACTCCGGTGTCAAGGCCAAGCCGCCTTCACGTATTAATAAACCCTCGTCGAAATCTCCTTCTGTGTTTGTTGTCGATGAAGAGAAATTTAATGATTCGATCACGAATCAGGCTGCGTTGTCTATTAGAAAGGGCAAGTACCTCTACTATTCGAGAGGTGGAGACTACTGTAAAGGGATGAACCATTTTCTATGGAGCTTCCTTTGTGCTTTAGGAGAAGCCCAGTATCTGAACAGGACCTTTGTCATGGATTTGAGCATGTGTTTGGCTGCAAATTACAACCCTAGCAACAAAGATGAAGAGGGAAAGGATTTCAGGTTTTACTTTGATTTCGATCATATGAATGATTCGGTTTCAATTGTTGAAGAGGGGCAATTCTTGAGAGAGTGGAAACAATGGGATCGAAAGCATAAGAAGGACAAGATCCCTGTGAGGACTGTGACTACTTATAAAGTATCCCCAATGCAACTTAGAAAGGATAAAAGCACAATAATTTGGAGGCAATTTGATACCCCTGAACCAGAGAATTACTGGTATAGAGTTTGTGAGGGTCAGGCTGCAAAGTATATTAAGAGGCCATGGCACGCACTGTGGAAGTCAAAGAGGTTGATGAATATAGTTTCAGAGATTAGTGGGAGAATGGATTGGGACTTTGATGCAGTTCATGTTGTTAGAGGGGAAAAGGCAATGAACAAAGAGTTATGGCCCAATCTTGATAGTGATACTTCCCCTGGCGCAATCCTAGAGAAGGTTATGCAGATGATTAAACCAAGGAGAAAGCTATATATAGCTACCAATGAGCCTTTCTATAATTATTTTGATAAATTGAGGTCGAAATATGAGGTTCATTTGCTTGATGATTACAAGGATTTGTGGGGGAACAAGAGCGAGTGGTACAATGAAACCAAGATCTTGACTGGAGGGCAGCCTGTTGAGTTTGATGGGTATATGAGAGTAGAAGTGGACACTGAGGTGTTAGTCAGGGCAAAGAAGCGTGTGGAGACATTTAATGATTTGACAAAGGATTGTAAGGATGGGATCAACACGTGTTGACGGAGGCTGTTGAGTGCATGTTGAAGATAGAGGTAGTGTGCTTTGTTATAGATTACCTCATGATTTGTAGCCTGAGGTCTGTGTTTTTGGTATATTTGGTATTGATTTTGTTGCATTGTAGTGTGGTTCTTGTTTTCTTGTATTTCAAATCAATTGTAATTGGGAGCAACAAAATTTTTTCTTTGATTCTTCTGATTGTATCAATTGCTTTGTGTCCATAGATGCATCATTGCTTGCCTTCTTTTTATTCTATCTGCATTTCAGTTCTTTTATCCCTTTTTCAATCTTTCTTTATTGGTTTCTCTTTTTTGTTTTTGGTAATGGAGTTCTAATTTTCAATTAGTCTTTGTGTATCATTCTTTTCCATTTTATGTATTTTTACATTATTCTGTGACAATCCTTCAGTATTCTTCTGGTGTCTCATAAGATGCAACTTCTCCAACTTTCAAGATTGATATGATCTTGAGCATGAGCTTTTATTGCATGATACCTTTTTTTTCCCCCTTTGTTTTGATAGAACTGACTGTAGGGTAACTCTGCTTAGAGGCAGCATGTACAGAAGAGGAAATAAAGGAAAAAGTACAAAACTCTAGGTTGAAAGAGGCCTTTTTGTGTTGGAGTTGTTACAAAATTATGATCCAGGGCTCTGTCCCTGGGTATCTCTTCATGCCTTGGCCTCCCTGACCACGTGCTTAGACATGGAATGTATAGATCTCATGAATCCCATGCTGAAAAAATTGGTTGTAAAGTCCATTGTTCAAAAAGTCGGCTGCCCAGCAACCTGGGCGGGCTGCTCAAGTGTTGGGAGGCCTCATTGCCCCTCACGTGGCCTCTGCGGCCCAGTGCGGCGGTGACCCTGGGCCACTTCCTGGGTGGGTGCCCAATGCCCAGCAACTGGGCTCGCACCCAGAGCCCTTTTAGCAAGGGCAGAGATTGCCCTCGGCCAAAGGGCAAAAAAAAGAAGAAGTAATTTTCCTCTTGTAAAAGGCAGAAATAGTATGTTAGGGGCATTTTGGTTCCCCAAAACCCTAGATAACTCTATTTGTGCCCCAAAAACTAGTTCTTTAGCTCAAAATCAAATTTTTTTTTAAGGATCAAATTCGAAGTTTTTGATTTTTTGTGAAATCAAAATGCATTTGACACGGAAATTTTTGGGTACAAAAGTGGTTGCAAAAGAGAGATTTTGGCAACCGAAATGATTGATTTTTTGTGGCTATTGTGTTATGTAATGGTTTTTTATCCTTTTCTTTTTTTTTTTCTTGTGTTTGTTTTTGAAGTTTGGCTTTACATTATGATAAAACTTGATGAGGGTTTTTTTGGTTATGAGTTTGCAATTTTTTGTGATTATAATATATTTTTGGCTAAGTTTATAATTTATAATGAAAATTTGAAAATTTATAATATATTTTTTGGTTATATTTGGCTTTGTTTCTCATTTATAATGCAAATTTGACGACAATATTGCTCTATGGTATGTTTCTAATTTACAACCCCCGAACACCCCCCAATGCCCCAAACACCCACCCATACACACATACATACACAAGGGCCGCCCAGGTCACTGGACAGCCGCCTGTAGTACCCTGTCCTCCTCGAGCCCCCCGCCCACTCCACCTGTCCCTGTCTTTCCCTCTTCTCCCCTCTGTACCCCCCACCCTCTCTCCACCTACCCCCAACCCACTTCCGAGGCTTCCCTCCCCTCGGAAACTCCAGTTTCCATTCCCTCGCTAACCCACTCCTTCATTTTCGGCTCCCTCACCCCCTCTATCCTCTCTTCCGTTTAGGCTGCATCGACTGATGGAAGCTCCGGCTACCCCTCTGCCCCTCGTCGAATGGAGAGCCCGCTGTCATTCCCTCTCCCTTGCCACAGCCGCCTGGGGTTCCATCAACCCACAATGTGAAACCCCTACTTGTACGTTCTCTCTCTTTCAGCCCGCTTACCCCTTTTTCCCTTGCCCTTCTCGCACCCTTCAACTCTGAACCTCTGCCTCCCCCTTCTAAGATTGTCCCCCCCTACTCCCTTCTTCGCCCCACTTCTCCACCACTGGTGAACCTCGACTCTCCTCTTGGTTCACCCATTCCTCCCGACTCCGTTACCACCACCATGGAGCCTTATACCTTTGACTCTCTGATGCCTTCTCCTCCCATTCTGATTGGGTTTCCCGCAGACCCCTATAGCGGTGACCACATCCTTGTGTCGCTCCCCTACTCGATTTCTCCCGCTCCCATTCCTTCTTTTGGATTATCTTCTGGAAGTCTCTGGTTGCCCCCCCCCCCCCCCCCCCTTACAATTTCTTAGACGAAGAAGCTCCCCCCCTTACAATTCTTAGGCGAAGAAGCTGCAATCTTCAGGCCAACCCTCAGGATGACGTCACCCCAATTGGTTTGCCTATCCTCGAGGCGAAGTCACCCTCTCAGCAAGCTCCCTCTTCGGAGGAAGTTTCATCGGTGACAGGGAATGCTCAGGGTCCTGCCTCTTCCACCTCCTCTTTGGCCTCCACGCCTTCCCCTATGGCAGTTGACTCCTCCTTCGTCGATAGGATGGACTGAGCCTAAGGGAAGATAACACCATGTCACGGACGTCATGGGATTCCCATACTCCAGACCTAAAGGACCTTTCACGAATTCTTCAAGTCCAAAACCCCAGCCATATTCAGGGTAAGTCGTAAAGGTAAAGGGAAGTGGAAAATCTGGCATGCAGTATCAACAATGACTGTGTAACAACTCTGCCTCTTAACATCCCTTACCCTATTCTTCAAGGGTCTCTGGTGAGACAATCCCCTAGGATCTCTGCCCTCCCACGCCTGTCCTAATGTTTATCTTTTCTTGGAATATTCACGGGTTAGGCCTCCCGAACAAAAAAAAGGCAGGGATTTTTGTCACAGATACAATCCCTCCATTCTTGCCCTCACGGCAACTAAGATGCCTGTGCCTAACTTGCAGCACATTAGACAGATCTGGGGCTGTCGCCCTTGCCAATGGAAAGCACTTCCTGCTAACGGGGCTTCGGGGGGCATATGGGTGATCTGGGATCCCAATGTCCACTCCATGTAGCAAGCTTCCATTGCCATTTTCTCTGTCTCTCTTATCTTATCCAGAAACTGAGACGAGCTAGCTTGGAAACTCTCAGCCGTCTACGGTCCAAACCTAGACGCTCTTAGACCTTCTTTCTGGGACGAGCTCAACAGTATAGCCTCCCTGCCCCACCCCATCTAGTGCTTGGGAGGAGATTTCAATGTGACCTGTTCCTTTGAAATGAATACTTCCTCTAGAATAACCCCGGGTATGCAAAGTTTTCGGGCTTCGTAGCCCAAAACAATCTCCTCGACTTACCTATTCACGACACCCAATTTACCTGGTCTAACCATTCTCTCAACCCTTCGTTATCCAAACTTGATCGTTAAATCGTCTCCCTTGACTGAGACGATACTTTTGCAGGCTCACATGTCTCAGTCATGCCCAAACCCACCTCAGACCACTGGCCTCTTTTACTTGATACCCATCCGGTACTGCGAGGAATTAAACCTTTCAGATTTGAGATGGCTTGGTTGGAAGAACAGTTGCTCTCCTCCCTATTCCTTGATTGGTGGCTATCCCTTAGCAACTCTGTTGTAGGATGGCAGGTTTTAGATTGCAAAGATAACTACAACTCCTTAAAACCACCCTCAAACTTGGAGCAGAAGTCTATCAGGATCTTTTGGATCCCAAAAGAATTCCACTCTTTCATCAATCAAATAATTAGATCTCATTGAAGAAGCCAGACCCCTATCCGACTCAGAGCATCAGTGTAGATCTCGGCTCAAATTGGATTACCAAAATATTCTCAAGAAAGAGGAGATATTCTGGTTCCAAAGATCTACGATTAAGTGGCTCAAGTTGGTAGACCTTAATATCGTCCATAAGACAACTAACTGCAGATGCATGGATTCCATTTCCCATCTCATGGATGGGGATAGAATGCTGGATCACGATTGAAGAGGCCATTCTGTTTTATTTCGCTAATTTATTCTCTGCACCTCAAGGACCCAGGCCTACCATGGGGAATCTCTCCTTCCGTACCCTCCCACCCGACAAAGCTTCATGGTTGGAAAGACCCTTCCTTAAAAAAGAGATTCTTGCAGCCATTTCGGACCTGGATCCAGATAGAGCCCCTGGACCAGACGGGTTCCCTGTTGCCCCATTCAAAATTTGCTGGGATTCCTTTTGTAGTGATTTCTTGGCTCTGTTCTCAGAGTTCCACTCAAGGGGTATCATCCACCGAGCCATGAATGCCACCTTTTTAACGCTGGTCCGAAAGATTGAAGGGGCTGAACATATCAAACCGATCAGCCTAGTGAACTCCACATACAAAATCATCTCAAAGGTTCTAGCCTCTCGTCTTAAAGAGGTCCTGCCTTTTGACATCTACACTTCTCAGAGTGCGTTTGTCAAAGACATACCGATTTTGGATGGGGCTGTTGTAGCCCATAAATGCGTGCATTCTAGGCACCTTAGCAAAATCCCAGGCCTTATTATTAAACTGGACTGGGAAAAGGCATATGATCATGTTGATTGGGCCATACTAGATGAAACCCAAGCCAGAATGGGATTCGGTAGGAAATGGAGGTTATGGATGAAAGCTTGCTACTCCAATCCCTACTTCTCTATCCTAATGAATGGGTCACCCAAGGGCTACTTCCCCTCCTCTAGGGGATTAAGACCCAAGACCCACTGTCTCATTTCCTCTTTGCCATCTTGATGAAGGTCTTTAGCCAATCGTTTGTGAAGCTGACATGTTACATGGGTTTTCTTTCGGAAATCAGGGCACTGTCGTCTCGCATCTTCAATACGCAGACGACACCCTGGTTTTCTGCAATGCTGATCCCGAGGAAGCAGACTGCCTCTTACTGTTTCTAGGATGCTTTGAGTTCACAATGGGGTTCAAAGTCAACTTCAAGAAGTCCAAAATGATGGGGTTGCACGGCTCAAGATCTGCCCTCCGCTTACCTAGGACTGCCTCTGTGTGTGGGAAAACCAAAGCAACGCTTTTGGTCCCACATCTTAGACAAAGTTGACCGGAAATTGGTAGGATGGAAAGGCCATTTTCTTTCTCTGACAGGAAGGACGACCCTTATTAAAGCCACCGTAGCCAACATTCCTGTCTTCCAAATGTCTATCTTCCATATGCCAGTTGCCATAATGACAAGAATTGAACTGCTTATACGGAGGTTTTTCTGGTCAGGAGTTGGAAATAACCACAAATATCCTTTGATTTCCTGGGACAAGCTTTGCCAACCGAAAAGACAAGGGGGGTTAGGCATGAGATTACTGAGGAAACTGAATCTAGCCTTACTTGTCAATTGGTGCTGGCGCTTATCTACTCAAACTGACCAACTATGGATCGATATTATTAGACACAAATACCGTATCCCATCTTCTCCATGTGTCCCTGAATTTAGGAATCACTCCAGAGCCTCTGATTTCTGGAGATCACTTCGCTCCTCCTACGATTCTTTCAGTAATTGCACTCGCATTCACCCAAGGAGGGGCATCCATGTTCGTTTCTGGTATGACGTTTGGCTTGGCCCTATACCCCTCAAGGATAGTTACCCCAACATTTTCTCTCTAGCTCACCACCAAGACTCCTTATTGGCCGATGAGATGACTCTTAGTCTCGTTCATGGAACCCTAGTTTCAGAAGACCTCTGAGTGAGCTCGAAATCTTAGCCTTTCTTGAATTATCGGTGGCTCTTCACAGTTGTTTCATCCATCCAATTGGAGAAAGACCAGTTAATTTGGTCACCTAGAGCCTCTGATGTCTTCTTGGTTTCCTCTTCTTATTGTTATCTCACTTCTCCCCCAACTTTTCCTTATGCACCACCCTTCATAGTGGCTAAGGCATGGGGATCTATCTCACTCCCCAAGCTCATGACCTTTATGTGGATTGCCCTTTGGCAAAGGGTACTCACTATGCATTGGCTGCAAAGAAGAGGCCTACCCCTAGTGAACAGATGTGCCCTCGGCTTGGAAGAAGATGAAACAAATGACCACCTGTTCCTACACTGTCCGTATGATTTTTCCATTTGGGGTAAGTACTAAATCTGTTTGGTGTTAAATGGGTACTTCCAGCCACGGTTCCCCAAATCCTATCAAGCATCCAACCTTCCCCATGGGCAAAACTAGGGATTATTCTTTGGAAATCTGTGGTGGCAGCAATAATGTGGGCCATATGGATTGAGAGAAACAATAGAACCTTCAAGGGAGTCTCATCCACATACCCAATTTGCTTTGCCAAGCTCAAATCCTCTTTAGTGTTTTGGCAACCAATCACAAAGACTTTAAAGGTCTTCTTTATGCAGTTTTCTTCAATGATAGGACGACCATCTTACAAAATAACATCAAAGGCATATCACGAAGTTCATGTTGGAGGCCTCCTGATCCAGGTCTACTCAAACTAAACTTCGATGGTTGCTCGCTAGGAAACCCTGGACCTATCCCCTGATCCAGGTCTACTCAAACTAAACTTCGATGGTTGCTCGCTAGGAAACCCGGGACCTGCTGGGATAGGGGCAATCCTCAAGAATAGCACTGGCACTACTCTTGCATCCCTATCCAAACCCATTGGACATTCCGATTCAATGGAGATAGAAGCAACTGCCTTTCTTGGATGCCTCAAACTTATTTGAGTCTCTCATAATTGAAGGAAACTCCAAAAATGTTATTGCTTGGGCCTCTAAATTTTCTCCACCCCCTTGGAACTTGGCACACATTTTTTATGAGATTCACTATACTTGCAGGGATATGCACGCCTCATGGAAGCATATTTGGAAGGGAAGGAAATCAGGCAGTGGAAAAAAAAGAAATTGTCGATGCCATTTAAAGGTGTGCTCTTTGATTGTTTAGGCCAAACCGCACCCAATAAATAAATGCATAATGGGAAAAGTTTATATAAGGTTGCAACCTTAAAATGTAGAATCACAGATGCACCTCAAAAATCTATCGAAAATGTTGTTTTAATTTTGAAAAACCCTCTAATTGATCATCTCGACATCGAGATCTATGAATATGAAAGAAAAAAGTTTTTGAATCCCATAAATAGTGCATCTTGCAACACATTATCAAGACCGTCAATTTTCAAGATTTTCATATATTTATAGATCTACTTGATTTTAAGCATTTTTGGAATTTTAAATTTTCTAATTAGATATGAAATTAGATTTTAGGATAATCCTAAGAATTTTTTATAGCGAAAGTACATGTTATGATAAAATTTGGAGGTGTGCCTTAATTTGATTGTTTAAGGTTGCAACCTTATAGAAACCACACCCATAATTGGGGTACCCGTAGAGTTCTTTACAGGTGCTGCGGGGTAATGCATGCCAACAGACGAGTCTCGCAGGTCTTGTAAGGAACGAATTGAAGTGTTGGTGCTCCTCATATATATATATACAGAGAGAGAATCCCTCCTTGCAAAATCCAGAATCCAGACTTTAGGGAATCAACTTCTTTCCTCATACGAGTTGAGGAAATGGCAATGGAATTAGGTCAGAGTTCGCGGATGGCTTCCCTTGCTTGTAATCTCCCCCAAGAACTGATGATTAATATCCTCGTATTGCTTCCAGTTGAATCTATCCTCAGGTTCAAAGCTGTCTGCAAATCATGGAATCAACTTCTTTCCTCTCATTCATTCAAGATAGCCCATTCTATCTCCCCATCCACATCGTACATCTTCGAGGACAACCGTTCTCTCAATTACATTGACGATGCCAGCAATTCAGTCTCCCGAAAACTGAGATTCCACCCCCAAGGTGGCCTGAGATACAGGGCTTGCGGTCATGGAATGGTGTGTTTAATTTCTTCTTTCTCTCACTTGTTTTTCATTGGCAACTCAGCAACCTGCAAATTCAGGCCCCTTCCAAGTGCTGGTGATGATTTCCTGTTGAAGACTGTCGGCCTTTATTTCCAGCCAAGCACTTGCAATTTCAAGATATTGGCCATGGGCTCAAACATATTGGTGGAATCGTGTTGAGGAATTTGGGACCTGGGGTTTATCCTTTTCTTTTACTTGGTGAGAACTTCTTCTTCAGAAGGAATGGCAAGGTGTATGCTTATAATGTTAGAAGTCACCAGCTCAAGATGCTTAAAGATGATCATCCCGGTGGCTTTGTCGGCAGTGTCGTGCCTTACCAACCCACCCTCTTCTCTTGCAACTCCAAAACTTAAAACCTTTAGGTCGTTTGGGGAACCTGGATACCCAAAATCAAGTTTTGCAAAACCAGGTTTTGAGGTATGTTGGGGTGTTTGACTCAATACAAGGGGCCCAAACCTAGTTTTCCGTCGGCCCTAAAAAGGGCTTACAATGCTGCCTGTTGCCTTTTCTATATTTTTTTATTGCTCCTCTCTCTCTCTCT